AAAATAGGTTGGACTAACTTTTCATGGAAGGAGCCTTGGTTACAGCTTTGGATTCCTCATGGGCACCCTGCATAAACGTTTTAACACCAAAATTATCAGAGCACTTGTTTAGTCTAGTTCAGAATATAGAGGCAACTGCAATAGAATAATTAGTCGTGAAACTACCAAGCAACACTCAAGTTTTTTTTCTAGTGCTTTGGAAGACAGAAAAAGAAAATCCAAATGCTGTCGTCTGGCTCCCCCCCCCCCCCCTCTTGCCCAAGTAAATGCAAATAAACTGTTCGTTCTGACAAGTTTGTTCATTTGTTGCAAGAATTAAAGTATTAGAGAACTCTAGAAAATTGCAATTCTAGGCTTCCACAAGTGTTGATTATGACCCATCCTATCACTGCCGTTTATACAGATTGATTGACCATGGTGAACAAACTTGTCCATCCAGACGATGCACATTACACTTAAATCAATACCATGCCTTTAATGCCAATTTATCATGCATCATATTCCATATCATTTCACAAACATATTAGAAATCTCAGGAGGCAAGAACAATCAACTCAATACATGTTCATAGATATGGAAGACAGCAAACAGTGGCCAAGTGCAAGAAAGTGGAACAACCATACCTGGAGCTGTTTTAGAAGCTTATCCAGCTTTGCATATTGCTTATCAAGCTCCTGAACCTGGAAACCAGTTCACAGTAATATTCAAATTGAGACATGCAAAATGACTGACCATATTTTATTTTTATTTTTATTTTTTCAGTGAAACATGAAGTTTATATCAATAAATGTACAAGACGAATTAATTAAACAGAAGAATCAGAATAATTAAGAAGAGGTTATGGAATAGGTCATGCTAAGCAAAACACACATATTCAACGAATTTATGAATACCTTTTTGAAGAGAGTTATCCAAGCCCGTATCTGTTGAATTCATTGCATTCGCACCTAGCTCAATATCTCCACCACCATTACCTTGCTCGCGAGGGATCTCAAATGAATCCTACAAATAGATCTGATCGTCAGCATATATGACTCAAATATAAGCCACAGAACTGGAGAATGGCCGCACTAGAATATGAGATGCCCGTTCATATTGCAGCTGCTATCTGCACGTCCTAAACTCCGAGTAAATTACCAAAAAACTAAAATACTACACTAAGCCATATCATTGAAGCATGCATTTATCTAACAAAAATGTAAAATGTAAAGCACCAAGAAGCATTTTGCCTCAAGAACTTTGTAGTCATTTCAAACCAACACATCTTTGGCAAACGTCATGAAGTTACCCAACTCCAATCCAAAGGATGAATATTGTTACCTGACCAACCATCAGGAGAAGCAAATATTTAGTGGAGCAACTGTATTCAGTTTTTCCTCCTCCTCCATAATCCAGTTTACAAAACTGAGCTATGAATCTCATTGCATTCAATACAGGATATTGGAAATAAAAGATCAATGTGCAGTTTCCCTATCTGATGAACTTTCTACGTACCAAAAAAATGTCAACTATAAAACACTCACATTCCTCACACTGAAACAAATGATTCAAGCAAAAGCACCAATTTAGGCACCAAATATTACTCGACCTTCCATTTAGTTCCAAAATTTTATCATGAACTACGTCATAATGACTAACAGTTTTTCGCCTTTGAGCGTCATCATTCAGCCTATAAAGGACACCTCAGATAATGGAGTTAACATAGATAGGCAAAGGATGAGATTGAACCTTTTTTTAAACTGCGATGGATATATTATACCAAAATAAATTTCTGGAACTAAATCAAGATCTGAGTAAAATTAAAGGAGTTGTAAGTGTGGTTTTGTCAAATATTACATTTTCTTTAATCTATGTGTAAATCTAACATTTTTTTCCCCTCAATAGTATGTTTGAATAGAGGAAAATGAATGAGAAGGAAGGTAAGAAAAAAGGTTAGATTTACATCCCAATATTAAAATATGAAAATTTTAATTTTAATTCCTTCCTTTCCTCTCCATTCTCCTCAATCTCCTGACATACCCAAAGGCAAAGACATGCCTATGAATGCGTTCGCAGCATGACTTGGAATAGATCCGCAGCCCCTCTCTCGCACAAGGCCGCGATTTGAAACCAATGCAACACTTTGACAAAAAGCAATTCTAAAAATGAATTTTTCCTCCTTTCTGAGAGTTTTGTTCTTCTGCATGGCCACGTTTGCAAATTTCCTCCTTTTCTGAACTTGAAATGTTACAACGTTGCTAAGCAGGAGAATATTACCTAGAACCCAGATCAAATTTCATTGTCCATGTAATCTTTTATTTCGGATGAGCATATTAGAATGTGGTAGTCGTATGCCAAATCAAAATATGACATTTAGGCAGGATCGGTAGTTCAGTCCAGGTAATGAAACTCCAATTTCTAAAGCCTGATTAACTAGAAAGGACCGCTGAATTGATAGATCGACTTGGGAAAAGTATTTGAAATCCATCACAGTTAGCCAACAGCTGCGTATTTCCAGCCTTTTCTCTGGAAGAAAGCGGAAAGACTAGAGCAGAAGATGAACTAAAACTCACATTGAGATTGCCCACCGCGCAACCAACAAGAAATTAAATACCCCGCTATAGCCAATGCTAGATCAGTGCAGGACCAGAACAAGAACATCCAAATACCTCCCAACAAACAAGAAGACTCCGCAAATCAACAATGACGGAACAAGAAAACAACTTTAAGAATGATACGTTACCGATAGAAGATCGTTCATGGTGGGAGAGAGCTAAGAAATTTCAAGGCTGAAACTTTATCAAAGGTGAGGAAATAATAATCGATAGCTGAGAAGGGCCTGGTGATCAAGATACCAGGCCTTGGAATCTGCAGAGAGAAAAGAGTAAAGTGAAGGAAGGAACGTGGTTTTGATTTTCTTTTATTGGGTATCAATCTGACGGGTTGTATACCTGGTATGGAAGTGGAACCACCCCAAGACTGAACGGTGACAGCTTGAAAGCAACTGTCTTCTTTCCAAAAACGTTGAAAAAGGAAATAAGATATTTTTTAATTTAATCTGATCTTAATAAATAATCAATTTAGTCTCCAGTGACTCGTTTTTTTTTTTTATTAATTGTGAGTTGCGATTGTAATTTTAGTTCAATCATTTGACTCGTAATTTTTTTCTGCCAGCGAAGACTCGTTATTTTCTTTGACTGGTTGTGATTATAATTTTAATTCAATAATTTTGGCGAAGATTTAGCGTTATTAAATCAAGAGAGTTGGATGCAGTGTTTTTTAATCAAAATTGATTGATAACAGAATTGACTTGTTATCTGATCTGGGCTTTAATACACGAGACTTTACCAGAAAAAATATTGATTCTTTCTTTAAACTATTTTTAATGATAAACTACAGTCAGCTTTTCATCTTGACCATCTTTTTAATTGCATTTGAACTTCCAAGAAATAAAATCACACAAATCTTAATTTATAATATGCAAAATAAAGGGGGCAAAAGAGCCCCTTGTGAATATTCAAGTTTTTGTAATTTTTAAGCAATGGATTCTTACAAAAGCACTCCCTTTTTAACTACCTGAATTTTCTCCTTAAATTAGATATATCATTAATTTAATTACTACTATAAGAAGGATCGTGTTCTTCTTTTCAAAAGCATTAAATGACAATAATAAATACATATAATTAAATTAGATAAACATGAATGACATTGTGCGTAGAAAAATTTATTGAGAGGAAATATAGGAAAAAGTTCCAAACCCATATCTTATGGTAGCATGTTATGTTGTCTCAACTCTCAAGAGTATGAAAATATTGGTAAAACTAAAAGGATATCCCTTCTAAGAATAATAAAAGCATATCATTACCTAAGTTTGCAGAAAAAAAGCATATCAGCTGCATTCACGGAAGTCCATTGCCGTTTCCTGCCAACAAACTTCCGTCTATCGCGTCGCAACTTCAACAACACCTTTTTTTTTCTAAAAATTAAAACCGGATAATATTACTCAAAGAGAGGAGAGATTCTTACATACAATGAGAGTACCACATCATCCCAACTCTGTCCAATCAATACACAGCAACTCTGCTTTTTTTATCCTTGTTGGCACCTAACTTGGCTGCTAACTCCCCTCCAAAAGCACTGATAATTCTAACCGGCAAATCCTATAAAGAAAAAAGACACCCTAAATGAAATTGAAGAGGGAAGTGGATTTCATCACAGAGGAGCTCATCCCTAACCCCTCTCCCCTCTCTTCTATAGCTTCTCCACGGCAGCAGCGACTCCCCTATAGCCGGCAACTAGATACTCGACTGGAACAATGAGAAGGAAACCCCTCTATCCTTTCTCATAACCACAGGCGACGGCAGTGGCGGCGGCGATTCCCCTGTAGTCAGCGACGAGATGGTCGACCGAAATCGTGAGAACCACAACACTCTCTCATCCTTTCTCATAACTACAAGTTGTAAGTTTTCGTTCTCTCTCTCCTCCTCCTCCAGCGTCACTCAATATAAAAACAGAAACTAAATCAAACTCAATCTAAATCACCGAATCTAGAATGCAGAAACTTTTTTGATGTTCAGAAAAATAATATAGAGAGGGATTATACCAACCCCCATAAAAAACAATAGATCAAATACAAAGGGTGAAATAAGGTACAAAAAAACTTATCACAAATAACACATTTCTTCCATGAACTAAGAAAATCTACAATCTTTATCAAGTACGAATCAAACCTTCTTTGCTCAATACACAATCTAGAGATACAGAGCAAAATGGGGCGTGATGGGAGGCTCTCTGCTAGTGATGCAACTCTCTGTTGACAATGCTATCTTTCGCTAGCGGATAACTCTCTGCTCACAGAGAAGATGCAGCAAGGTCCAAAGCTAAGGTAGGGCATACTCTTTGAACTCTTTTCGATTTCCCTCCTGGGTTGGGGCACGATTCTTCAAGCTTTCAATCTCTCTAGTCGAAGCACAGCATGGGAAAAATGAAAATATTCTACGTGTTTTGTTTTTTCATTTTTCAATCTAAGGTTTATTTTTCAACCTGGGAGTGTTTTTAGAGGGGAGTCAGCAGCCAAGTTAGGTGCCAACAAGGATAAAAAAAGCTGAGTTGCTGTGTTTTGATTGGACAGAGTTGGGATGATGTGGCACTCTCAGTGTGTGTAAGAATCTCTCCAAAGAGAGTTAGGTGATGTCCCCCTTATTTTTAGAACAGAAGCTAGAATAGGAGTGGAGGTTGGTTAAAAATACTACATCCAATCATAATTATAAGATATCATTTATAAATTATAAATAAGGTCTTTTAATTAAAATCGGGAGGTGATGCAAAAAATAATGTCATCTAACTTCTAGCAATTCCCCACTCATCACCCTTGTCATTTATTGACTTATTTCTAGTGGCTTTTTTTTTTCCAACTATGTACTGCCTATTATTTTTTAATATAAAAATTAGTTGAAAGATGAACTTGATCTACACATAATATCTCAATTCAGTTGTCTCTTAAATTTATAATTATTAATTATATATAAATCAAGAAGGTTCTCATTGAAAGATAATTCTAATATATATAATTGAAAATATATTTTAGGAATAACAACATATATTTATTATAAATAACTAATTTAACTAAATATTTTAATAAATTTAAATTATTTAATTTAATTTCCTGGTGAAAAAATTATTTATTTAATTTTATATTAAAAACTAAATAGAGTTTTTTGTTTTTTCAAGTTTAAGTTAGCTTCTTTGTTGCTAATGATATCATTTTCTTACTTTGGGAAGCAAACTAAGATTACATGGGTGTTTGTTTTGTTCTGAAAATACTTTTAAAAAATATTTCTACGCATGTGAAGACAATTTCTATAATGGATTTTTTTTATACATCATAAAATCATTTTTAAAATTATGATTTTGTTTTTATTTAAACACCTCTTAAGACACAAAAGAACAGAGAGAAAATTGTATTAAAGTGGCACCAAAGAAAATTAAGTACAAAAAAAATTCTTGAAATTATCAAATTAATTTGAAGTCTCAATGATTTCATCAAAAAACTTTACTTGTTTAATTACTAAATTACCCTCATCATTTTTTTAAAGTATGTATTGACAAGTAAAAGGGTAGTCATTAACAAATTCACGCACAATAATTAGTAATTATTACAGTAGGTTCTAACAACATATTTCTCAGTACATCATAAAGATTTAATGCAACAATGCAATTTTTCCAAAAACAAAACATTTTATTTGTCCTTGGCCCGTAAGCAAAGCCACTCTAGCCAAATTAACAACAAATCATATCCCACGCTATGATAAATATTAAAATAGACGACCCCCTTTTTATACAGGAGGAGGCTGTTGATGTAGGAACGAGACAGGTTGCCTTGTTTGTACTTTGCTCTGTTTTGATTCTGTGAATGTCATCCAGCTTTTTGTTAAAAAAAATGATTATTTAAAACTCACATGATAATTCAACAATTAACACAACGCCACAAGGCATCAGGACTAAAAAAATCAAATCAAGTGTCAAAGAAATATTTTAAGTGCAAGTTTAACAACGAAACTCCTTGAAACTCTGACGATTTCACAGGGGTAAATACCCACTGCTGCTAAAAAATAAACAGAAGCAAATATATCAACAAGAGTTAGATATTGTTTGGTATGAGAAAGGAAAATTTTTTTAATGAGTTTTATTTGAAAATTTTGAGAAGTTGGGTTTTAAAATTTTAATAAAGAGAAGAAGTAATATAAATTAATTAAAAACTTTTAATCCTATTTTTTTTAATTTTTTAAATCAAGCTTTTTAAAAAAATTTCTACCTAGTAGGATAAGGGAGTGTTTGGATAAAATTTGAAAAATAGATTCTGGAGAATAGATTTTATGAAGAATGAAAATTTTGTGAAAAAGTGATTATGATAAAGTAAGAGTGTTTGGATAGTTGTTATTATAATTACTTTTTATATGTACAACTTACTAAAAAGAGTATAAGTTAATATGATAATTACATAAAAGATAGATTTTATAATATAATTTAATTGGGATAATTAATCTCCTCCTTATAGTTTCATTTGATTTTTAATTAGATCCTTATAATTTTTTCTTTTTTATTAGATCCTTTTACTTTGTGTGTTTTTAATTAGGTCCTTCTATTTTTTTCTTCTTTTTATCAGGTCCTTATAGTTTCACTTATTTTTTAATTAGGTGCTTTGTAGTTTTTGAAAAATTATTTATTAACTTTATTCTTTAAAATTAATTTCATTTTTAAATTAATAATTATATAATGGACAAATAATTAATATAATCATTTAGTAATTAATAAATAATCAGAATAATAATTATGCTTAAATATAAATTATTTATAATCATATTTTAATTTTAGATAAATTTATTATTATAATTTGAATTTTATAATTATAAAAATTTGAATTGAAAATAATAATATATTTGTTTAACTAAAATTTAAAAGAATATTAACATAAGATTGTTACATAATTTATTATTTGTAAAATGTTATTATTTGTAAAATAAAGAATAGAAACTAGAAGGACCTAATTAAAACAAAGTAAAACAATAAGGACCTGATAAAAAAAAATTATAAGGACTTGATTAAAAATATATGAAAGTATAAGAATCTGATAAAAAGAAAAAAAAATATAGGGACCTGATTAAAAACCAGTTAAACTATAAGGACTTATATATTAATTATCCCAATTTAATTTTAAGAAATAAATTTTTTGATAGTATATTTTTTATGAACATAATTAACAATATATAAGAAAATATAAGTAATAAATAATTAATATGTGTATATGTATTTATAAAACATAATATTAAATATGTTTATAAAAAATGATTTTTTTCGCTAAAAAATATAAACACCTTTGTGGTTCTTAGATCCCATGAAACTTTCACCTTATCCCTACTTGTTATGCTATAAAACAATTACAGCTCTTCAGTCATCACAAGTTAATCAACTCAAAATCAATTAAAATAGCAAGTGTTATTGTT